AAAGAGGAAAAAAATTGCAAGGTATCGAATTAGTACTCTAATACCAAGTTAAGGTTGTACAAGGAGTATTAGGATTTGTGAGAAAGAGGAAGAAGTAAGAGACAAAAGAGAAATAGTAAGAGAATAAGTTGTTGTTTAGGCTATGTTGCTCTACATTCTCTTATTTATAATAAACTGACATAAAAATAAATACATTAGTACCCTACACTTATAATAATAGGGTTAATTACAATTTTCCCCTCCAACTATATTCTATGTAGCAATCAACTCCCTGTGGTTTCATTTACAACAATTTGCCCCTTCTTGTATTAAAATTGAAATTAGTAACGGAAACACAGTGAAAAGTAACGGAAACATTGGAATCTTTTGTTTGTGTCAAAGGAAAAAATATTTTTAAGACAATTTTACCTTTGTCTTCCAACGGTTGGAAATTTTGCTCTTTAAGAGGAATGAAGCTTTTTTTCTCTTTCCCTCATCTAAGACTATAGCTCTTTTTCTCTTTTGCTTTTTTTCTTTTTCCTTCATCTATGGGACCTCTTATACACGGTGCCTTTCATTTCTAACCATCTTACCCATATCCTTATAAAAATGGCTTTGAGTGAAGCATCAACTCATGGAGAAACTGATAAACTGTGCTATTGCGAATTGAAATGCAAACTCAAGATTCCATCATACCACTGCCATTCACAGTATCATCAGTTGGACTCTTCCCAGATTTCTTTCCAAAATCATGTGTTTGGCTACTTGCAACAGACCTTGCAATTATCCCAACACCCTTGTGGCATCTAGAACCCTCTTACTTTTTCAGACTCTTGATAATTGTCAAACCTCTCAACCCAACATCAGACACGATAGGAGGAGGAAGTCCATTGTCGCTAATTGTAATACCTCTCCTTCTCCCTCTCCCTCTCCCTCTCCCAACTGTTGATTGTGACCCACATTAACATAGAAATTTCTGTTAATGGGGACCCTTTACATTGATATTCACATGCATTGAACTAAAATAATATATTGCCTCATATAACCCCAACAACCCACTGACCCACATGATTCCCACAAAGATTTTACTTTCCAATAAACTAATACAACAAAAGGTGACCAAAAAAATCTATGATTCATCAGTTATTGTAACACCCGCATTTTCTTTTATATATGTATATAGATATATAGTAAATAATTGTGATAAAAAAAATGTGGATATATGTAGTGATGTGTGTTTGAATTTGGTAGATTGAAAAAGTAGAGATTTAAAATGTTAGTGAAAATAATAGTTAAAATTTGGTTTTAATAAGTGAAAATATGAAATTTTAGGTCCTAGAACTTGTATTAAATAGGTTTGGTGTAGAAATATGTGTTAGAGAGGTTTGGGATAGATTTGGTTGGTTTAGGAATGGATTGAAAATAGAAAAGGGACGAAGACAGGCTATGAACAGTGCACGTGAACAGTGCACTGCTGCAACTTCAAACTCGATTTAGACTTTGATGCAGTCAATATCTCTCAAAACTCAAAACATAAAAATTTTAGAGCTCTTTCGTATCATTCCATAGCATCTTGAATCATCTCAATCGGAGCTTGGATGAGAGAGTTATGATCAGATAACGAAATGATGTCGAAATAGTCTAATTAGCTTCGTTTTGCATTTAATATCTCCATTTGCATCCTAAATCAAAATATAAGAATAATGAGTACTTTTAAACTTCAAATAAGTATAAAAGGCTTTAAGAAACACCCTTTATCACCTTTTATTTGCAAACATCGCAAAACTTCATTAATAGCCGATTCGGATGGGTAAAATATAAACTTTAATGTTTCGGGTGTACATTGACTTGGGTGTTGAGATAAATCATAAAAATAAATATTTTTAGGTTAAAATAACATTAAAAATAAATCCGGAACGTCGAAAAACCTTAGGGTAGTCATATGGATCAAATTGGAGATTCTTAGTGGCAAAACCGTAAATTTGGAGAAACCCAAAACAGCCTGTGAACAGTATTTTTCGGGGCTGCTATGTTTTAAACTCATTTTCATCTCATTTCCTTCACTCCCTTCACACCCCCACACCTCTTGAAACCCTAGAGGGTATTAGAGAAGAAGAAAGGAAGGAAAAACAAGAGATTCAAGGGTGATTCAAGATCAAATATTTTTGTTCTTCACTCCAAAGCTAAGGATTCAAGGTAGGGGTTTTCTCTCATTCACTTACATTGAGGCTAGAGTATTTATATATGTATGTTTTGACTATCAGTGATATATATATGCTATGGAATCATCCTCTCTTAGACTTTTTGCAAGGATTACATGTTTTAAACAAAGTAGGGTTTAATACCCATGAAATCTCCTTTCTAGTTTTTAAAACCCTAATTTTTGGAGAGTGATGTATTTCCTTCCTAAATGCTTTCTTTATTATGGATTTTAAAACCTTAGTGCTTTGTGTTGGATAGAAAAATGATGTTATTGTGATCTCATGTATTTTCTTAGTTAGTTGTGGAATTGTTATATCATATATTTTGAAAATTTTGGATAGATGCTTGTAAATTGAGATAAATGTTAAAAATTATATACTTGGTTGGGTTGTTTATGATGCATATGACTGAGAGGTTTCTTGTAAAGATACTCACCCCTTCCCAAAAGGTTCCCGGTAAGAATGCTTGAGAATCAAAGGTGACCTAAAGGGGGGTGGAGGTTACCACAAAGTATGCCACCTACCGAAAGAATTGTTGGAAATTGGTTATGGCAATTAATGGTTATTATTTGTATGTGGTGCTCATTTATTCATTTAAGTAATGTTTTTAAATAAACTTGAGATCCTTTTTAAATGTCACTGCTTTATTTCAAATTATGTATCTATGTTATGTTAAAATTGAGACCGACCGTTTTAAATGCTTTTCTAAACCTTGTATGGGTTTGGGAGAATTTTTCTATAGAGTTTCGTGCTCACCCCCTATCGCTAACATTTTTCAGATTACCCGCTTGAGGAGGAAGACGTAAGGGTCGAGGAGCCCGCTACTTGGGAGACTCCACGGGACGAGAGTGTGGATCCCGAAGTGGACGCATAGAGCGACCTCCTTTCCTTTTGTACTAGACTAGGACATTCTTTTGGAACATTGTGTAGTCTAGCTTCTTTTGTTTATTCCGCTGCGCTTCCTTAATTAATTTTTTAGATGTAATAGTCATGACTTGGACTTATTCTTTTGGATAATGTTGTAAATATTCGTGGATGACAAATAAAGTCTTATTTCTTAAGGGATTATATTAGTGCTCTTATGATATGAATGGTTTTAGAATGTAATGTCATCCAGGGTGTGTTTTTGGGCGTTACAGTTATAGCAAACAAAACACACCCATGTGTGGACCCATCATGCACAGATGTGAACCCAAGTGCAAAAACCCCATGGATAGAAAAATTGCATCGTAACTTACCTACGATATTGATCGCAACGGCTCAGGACTTCAATCGGCCATTTATACATCCTACACCTCAATCGATGACTTCAAGCATCTGAGGACTTCAAGCATCGCAGAGACTGGTGTGGGGGTGGTTTGAGAGAGTGGTTAAATGACTAAGGACAACTTTTAGACCAAGAAAAAAAATCTAACTATGGTTAATATTTTGGCGTTACCATGTTTGAAGGGAAATTCCTCCTCTATTTGACGGCCCTCACCCTGCTTTTTCATTTTGATACAAGAAGGGGGCAAATTGTTAGAAATGAAATCATAGGGAGTTGATTGCTACATAGGGTATAGTTGGAGGGGGCAAATTGTAATTAACCCATAATAATATAAAATAGAACTCTAATAATAATATAAAATAAAAACTCTAACAAACACATTTAATAGAAGGCATAGAGAAAGTGGGTTATGCATTGGCAGAAGACATTATACGATAGTGACCTCCAATATGTTTTAAAATGCTAGCCAACTAAGAAATACGAATACAGATACGACCAAGGATTAAAATTTCGTTTAGGTGTATTATTTCAGTCACTTAGGAAATAGAAACGTTTCGATGTGTTTCAAAAATGTTTCGACCCATTTTAGAAACATAATGAAAAAAATAAATAATTTAAGAATTATTTTTCTAAAACATTGATTGAAATATATCAAAGTATCCTAAAATACGTTGAAATATTCTAAAACAATTGTGCAAATACATTGAAATATTATAAAACATCAAGAAATATTATAAAACATCAAGAATCATTATGGAATATCTCAAAATATTATAATTTTGATTTCATTACTGTTTCGTTTCGGTCTCCTTGGAAACAAAAATGTTTCGGACGTTTTGACCATTTCGAAACGGTATTTTGATCCTTGAATACGACACAACATGGACACGCAGGCACGATATTTAAAAAAAAAAAGTATGATACAAACACATTGGGGACACTGTACAAATAATTGTGTTTTTTATATAAAATTATATAACTTACCACAAATATAGTGATAATAATATATTATTCATAAAAAATTCAGTACTTTTATAATAAGTAAATGTTATATCTAGTCATCTAGTGTGAATTTATATATTAAAGCATTATAATAGTCAATAATCATCAATTTTTATGTAAACATCATGTACTCAACATATGTAATTTAAATGATTGCTCTTATTTTTTCAAATACACTTTTTAAAACATTTATGTATCATTTGCTTTTATTATCATAGTTTGAGTATAATTTTAACATGTCTAGCCTTGGTAATTATACGTTCTCTCATCATATAGTCAAATTTTAAACTTTTTTAATCGCATGTCAACACGTGTATTATTTAGTAGTAGACACAAGCGGAACAAATGTCGGACATGTCCCGTAAGAAGTGTCAAACACCTACCCAAAATTAAAATTTTATTATTTAATAATGAACACCGGTAAAAGAGTATCAAACGCATGTCTAAGAATATCTAAGGAGTGTCTGTGTCCAACATGGATACGTCACCTTCTTGAGAGTGTTGTACTTCATAGTTAGCCACCATTAATCTTTTTATTCAAAAAAAAAAAATTAGCAGTCAACTGTAATTACCTCCTTATTGACAAGTCTCAAGAATTCTTCACGCTCCCTGCTCACCGACTGAAAGAGTTAGCACAAAAGCAAGTTAGCATCTTGAGCAGGTGATGTTATCTTATACATGACACCGAGCAAAACAAACCATGCACAATTCTTACAGATGCTGATGCTAAAACAGCCAATGCACGACTAAGCTCACAAAGTTGCTCTTGTTTATCCAGTGTTTTAGCTTTTGTCTGTTCTCGTGCCTCATTTTGCGTCGAAGTAATCATCTCTTCCAAAGCCACATCTGGTTGCCTAGCTGCAGATTCCTTCATCTTGGCTTGATCTTCTTCCTCTTTCTCTTCCTCCTCCTGCAATCAACAATTTAGAACCACTAGTAAGAAAGAAAGTTATTAAAGACCAACAAATCAAAGAGCTGTAACCTTAAAGAACTTCCAACACTACCCAAAGAGAAGTTCAGGTTAACATATTCAACCTTGATTAATTCTTCTTGCATTTCTAGGAACTCCAGCTTTCTCCTCCTTTCGGAAACAGAATCTTCGGATGGCAATGCTGTGACTCCAACCGTATCCACCACCTCATCTGGCAGCGAGGATAATGTAGCTTGAACAGCTTCCTCTGGTCTCACTTTACCAGATACACTGAAAGCTCTGCAGAGGCATCAGGATAAAGACTGATGAATTTCGTTCAACATCTCAAAACACAAAAAAACAGGTGAAGAATTAAGTAACCTTGAAAGAATCAACAGTGAAGATGGCACCGAATGGTTGAGAGACAAGTCCACCCAATCACGTAGCTGCACAGAGGAGCAAAATTCAAATGTCTAGATCATCCAAGTATTATTTTCCATCCTTGAAAATAGAACAAAAAGAACTCACAGCTGAGAATCTGTGAAACATAAAGGTTCAACTAGGGTGTTTCTAGCAGAAAAGAGTCTGAAGTTTTTACCAAATCATGTTTGACTATTGTATTAGAAGTACATCCACAAAATTACAATCAAGAAACCCATATATGACTACTTCAAACAAAAGAGATGTCAGGTTGTATTTGTACAATTGAAAGGAAGATAAATAAGCCATCCAAATGGGATCACAAAATTTCCAAACTACTTTTGAGTAATCAAAACAGTACAGAACCACCATTTTAAGCTTCAAGACGTAAGAATACCCTCCCACGCCAGCCTGCGCCAATCCACACGCAGAGATGCGCATAGAAGTACATGCAGACATAGAGACCAAGTCAAAAAGCTTTCAAGCAAACAATTTTTTGTGTAACATGCATCACAGGGAAGAAGAATCCATATTGGTTTGCCCCTGCCTCTACGGGCTTCAATGAATTACACCACACACAAGAACATCAAATCAAACAACAAGAGATTACATTACCTGCCAAAATTTCATTGAGAGCAAAACCTATCCAACAGAGAGGCCATATTTTTAGGAATCTTTGACAAATACGGTAATTTACAAACCTGATTTACAGGCTTGAATTCAAAACTCCTACCAAAGAACTGAACCTTCACTCAAGCCCTCTCGAGTTACCAGTCGTAATAAAGGTATCAGAACCCTCACCTAAAACACTCACCCAACCACCAATTAGTGTGCCCTCCTAACCACTTAAAAACCTTTTTTCTTAACATCAATTTCAAATGGAATGCTGTACTACATACAAGTAAATGTGTCAAATCAGCTTTCAGCAAAAGATGAGAGCTGAAATGGCCTCCAGGAAAGATATTCCTGAGAATATATATCATTTAGAGAGAGAGAGAGAGGATAACAGATGTACACAACTGCTGGAAAATTCTGTCCAGCCATCTAATGAACTCTCAAGGGGAAATGGCGCCTTCATGATATGGCTCATACTACGCTTTTGGTTATTAAAGTCGTGACCAAGTTACATGGGGTGCATTTTTGTATCAAGAGATTGCTTCTATGACCTTAACCCACAGATCCTTCTTTTACATATTGTATCTCACTTAATATGTGCTCAATCTTTACTTGGCATGTCCTGCAAATCTTATATAAACCAGATGAACACTTGTGTTCTAAATTAGTGGATCGGTACATCAAGAGAATAATTGGGATGTATGATCTTTTCAAAATATGGATCATGACCATCATTAATCATGCATGTTTTCATATATCCTCCCCTCCCCCAAATGACAAACAATCATGCATAATAGTGAGAGGATGTAGACATATGGCTATGGAGTGTTAGTATCGTTTGCTTGGTTATATTGTATCTTGTGTTGATTTGGATTTCTCTTTAAAAAAAATGTTCTAAATTAGTTACTCTTAAACAAGCAACCATGTGGCATTTCCACATGAATTTGTGCCTCCAGAAATATCATATTGAAAGTATCATCAACTTCCAAATTCCAGAAAACACCCACATTTTTCTTTAGGTAAACTACATCAACTACCCTGAGGTTTGTCCAAATAACAAGAAAAACCCCTCATGTATGGATAATAACATTGTGCTCCCCTCTGCTTTGGTTGTTCATAACAAATTCTCCCAAACGTTATTGTGCCATTAGGGGAACATGTTTTCTGTGTATTCCATCTCATTCACCCTACTCCTTTAAGACACCTCCCCACCCCCTTCTCTCTCTCTCCCATATCTTTGCACATCAATACAGTCCTAGAATCACCACAACGATCAAAACCACTAATGGATCTCCATAACAAAAACCCACATATGCAAAACCTAACAAAACATCTATTCTTCATCAACCCACCAATTCACACCGAGTCTTCGCCAACCCACCACTTCACATGCACAACTATCCACTGAAGCTCACATGTACACTCACTCTCTCTCACTTGTTCTTCTTCTAGAATTGTGCACACACACTCATCTTCTTTTCCAGTTGGGGGCATGCATAAACACAAACAGACACACATACACACACACCCCATTTTCTCCAATAGCGCACAAAGATTTTTCAATTTCGCAAATTCAGCCATAATTTAACAATTTCCATCTCACTGAACAACGATTGAGCTGCAATTTCTTGAAACAACTGAGGGTGCATTTGTGTGTGTGTGTATATACTAGCAATATATCTGCAAGGTAGCACAAAAGACGATGACAATAGTTCAAGCAACAACAGACTTATGTGATGAGGATGTCTCTGAAGGAAGGGATGGTTGGGAGAAGGGAAAGGTTTGATGGGCCCATTAGTGGGGAGCCAAGGAATTCTTAAACTGCTTGGCTTGGTATCTTCCAGTGGTGTGAGACATATAAGCAGGAAGCCTAGCAAGACTTCTACATCACCCCGTTGAAGTCAACTCTTAGACCATAACCAGCTGATCTGTAGAAGTGACACAACCATTCCTCTATATCTCTACAGGAACCTCCAATACCCAGAGGCCCAAATGGCCAATGCTGAATTATCAACTTCAATTTTTTGCCAAATAGGAGACTAAAAGATAAATTAGATGGAGCAACATAAAAGGGAAACATTAATCAAGAAGACTCGGATGATATCACTCAACAATAACACAAGACAATGGTCAAACTAAGGCCCATAACAATTCCAGGAATCTAACTCTACAATGGCCTGTCAAATGCCAGTAGCTGCTTCTATGAATCTTCTCACTGTGTCCCTCCCAGATAGTCCAAATTGCTGTTGATAGGGAACATAATCATTCACGCCAGGAAATGGAAAGTAAACTAGTACAAAAAGTAACTAAAAACAAATTTCGAATGCCAAGAATTTATTTAAGAGAACAACGCCGCAAAGAATGGATACAAACTTTCTTTAACATACTATCTCCCTCCTACTTTTTTGTAGTTAACCTTGACAACCACTCTACCACACTCTTGGTAACTACTATGAGAATGGAATTACAGATATCTTTGAAATTCTCCTAATGTAAGGATCTTCTCACACAATTATACGCGTGGAATCGCACTGTCAACCTAGAGGGAGGTGAATAAGTTAATTGAACAAACAATCACAATTATCAGATTAAAAGATTAATTTGTCAATTAAGTGTTTGAACCTGTTTTACCAAATCAAGAACAACCCGGTGTTAGAGCATCCAACTCAAAACCAATTGACAATGGGTGGGGTGGCTCCTCAAGTATATAAACCAACTTTTGTGATCCTAATTATTCCATGTGGGATACAAGTTCTCTTAACACCCTCCAGCAAGAGGGATCCAGTCTCGCACGTTGATTCAACAAACAACAATGCATACCAAGAAATTCAAAATAGGTAAGACACTTAGCCATTGACCGCTCAAGGCCAAGCTTTGATACCAATGTTAGAACATCCAACCCAAGACTAGTTGACAATGGGTGGAGTAGCCCCTCAAGTATATAAACCAACCTTTGTGGTCCTAATTATTCAATGTTAGATACAAACTCTCTTAAAAAATGGATACAATAATATGTCAATTAATCAACCAACAACCCAATTCACAAAAACTATGTTCCCTCCAACAAAAAAAATCTCCATAAAACCCAATTTGATGAAATAATTGAATAAAACAATTAATGTATCAATTCATCAAACATAGTTTGTGCAATTGTAAGTTGTTTTTGTGTGTGTGTAAAATCAAACCAAAAAAGATAACATCCACAACGCAAATAATTTGTTTACACGAAAACCCTCTTGGAAAAAATCACAGAACCAATCTTGGTGTACCTAATCTAATACTCCAAAATCAATTTACAAGTACTTAAATCTTATACCTCAACTAATTTGATCATGATTAGATGCTCATTTCCTTTGCAAATCTCCCCTCCGAATTAACCCACCGAAATCTTGAATAACTTCACTTGGACACACTTAGCGCGATGAGCCTCCAATAATCTTCAAGGATCATCTCCCAAAACTCTTAGTATGCACACAACCAAAGTGAGTTTTGTTGATCAACAAGCAAGATCTCCTTCTTCAATGTGTAATGTTGAATTAGAAGACTCAAGATGGTTTAGCCATTGTATCTTAGGAATCTAGGGTTGTTCTTGGCTCTCAATGTTGAAGAGACAACTTTTTAGCATATTAGGGAGATACCCTAACTTAGGAAGACTTACCTTATTTATATCCTCAGAATTCAAGTGGACATGGGAACCAAAAAAAACCTAAAGTCGCAAAGGAGCGCTCAAGCAGTCCAAGAGCGATGGGAGGGAGATTGTCACTAGAATGCAAAAAGGCTTCAATCCAGTCGAATAGCGTAGAGACTGCTCGAGCCATCTGCAGCCTGCTAGCAGCCAAGAGGGCAATCTGCCCAACTCGTCAGCATTCTCCAATTTTTTCTTAAGTGTTCAAAGATCGCTCTAACCGAAAGCGAGTGAGCAAAGGACAGTCCTTACTAGTTTTTAACCTAGAAACCAAACAAAAACTTGACATATTCAGTACTAAAGAGTGTTGCTCAAATAAGATCCGATACATGACTCAACTATGTTTTCAAAACACGTTTGATGTTTAGAAAATATTTTCATGAAAAGCATAAGAGTTATTCATGAATAATTCTAAATCCAATTTCATTAACTTAGTGAGTCAAAGTCTAGAATTAAACCAAGGGTTCTTAAGTCTCTAAGTCATTACCTTTGTCCTAAACTCTTGAAGGTATATTGGAGATCTCTTGATTTGGTTTTGAAGCTTGGACTCTTTCCTCCAAGCTTTTGGAACTTGATCTTTGAAGCATCAAGACCATAGATTTAGATTGTGATTTACGACAACGCTCCACGAGATTAGTCAGCTACTATCAATTTCCTAACAAACTTCTCAATTCACTTTTGGCCTTAAGAAGCAATTAGTTTAAAAAAAAAGAGTAGAACTCTCAACGATAACACTTCTACAAATGACCAAGTGAGTTCTTTAATGAAACAACAAACTAAATTATAAAAAGAAATCACATCATATTTGAGGATGTAAGATTTGTACATTACTTTGACCTCAATTCAAAAGACTAATGATCAAAGAAACAGCTAAAAAAATAAATTCAAAAACATTGTAACCCATTTGGATGGCGGTAATCCTGGTTGAGACTCGAGAATACAAGTTTCATTCCTAAAATTCTAGATTATCATGTTTGAACAGTTAATTGACTGGTCTTCCAAAATCGAGAATAGGACTACTATTACAATCAAATTCCCAATCACAGTGGGTATCTTGGTAATCTTACACTCGAAGTATTCTGAAAAGGGAAAAAGTCCAAAATTAAAACTCCTAGAGCAAGCTCTCTTTTCATATGTGTGTGTGAAATCCATATTATCCCGAGTATTTTACAAAAAAGAATAGAAAACTAAAAATATACTCACTAAAATGATATCATTGTAAAAATAGTACACTTTGCATGTCATTTCAAATTAGTTGACTTAAACAAGAACTGTGGAATGCATATTAATTCCCCCAACCACTGAATATTAGATTAACATGGTAAGAAAACCAGGTATCCCTTCACGGGAAATGAGACCCCCATCCCAAAGAGACATAAGAGCCTCACATAACTAGAACCCATCACAATGCTAATTGCAGTCGGCATTAGTAGTCCGACATCATATTAGTGAAGCTACTTTTATATCAGTTCCCTTGAAGTGTTATTAGCTGTAATTAATACAGTCCATAACGAAGTTGCCAGAAAATGTAGTGCACCAAGGGTTGATTCCCATATGTTACCTCCTACATTGTATTGTTGTAAAGAAACGTTTATGCCCTCAAAATGAATAAAAAAACAAAATCCAAAAAAAATTATAAGAAATTGTAAAAGAAAGGCAGTACATATTATGTATTCTTCATGTCAACTTGTGATGATATTGTCAGGTTATGCATGTTCAATTCCACATGCATTTATTTAAGAATAAAAGTCAAAATCTAAAAAGCCAACAAATACATGGAGAATACGTATACACTGCATCCATCAAGTTCAACTAGTTTGCTTTTCAGTTGGTTTGTTGTTTGTTGGAAAAGAGACGTGAAATAATTAAATGTAAGTAATATGTAAAAGATTGAGCAAACACCTGTTGCCGCATTTCATCAACTGAAAGCAACCCAAGTAAGCCCCGATCTCGACATGCTTGACGGAGCTCCTCCTCCGAAAGGGACTCCACACCCTCTGCTAGAATCATCTTATCATCATGCTTGATCCTGCCGAAGCAAAAAAATAATATTCCATGATGGGAAGTTATACTGATTCATGTCACTCATTTTCTCCACTTTGTTAATCGATAAAAAGTAGAGAATATGGAATCAATATACTATGAATTTCCTAATGATTTCCATAAACTGCATGTTTTCATTAAACATTAGTAACCAGCCTTAGAAGCTTGTGCCAACCTTCCCCTTACAAAAGCTTTCGAATATCTAAAAACATATTTTTGAACAAGGGATGGCTAAATACCCATGCAGACTATTGAATCTAAAGCTCAGAAATAGTAAGCAACAGCAATCAGCCCAACACAAAAAATCAAATTCTCACCATTCAGAAGAAAAATAAATATAGATTTTGAGGATAATTAGACGAAATAATTGCCTACAAGATGAAGGTGTATACAGTAGTTCAAAGCACTCAAGACAACACAAAAAAGAACTGTTATGCTGTCTTCCTCCCTTAATTATTAAAATACATTAATAAAAGAGAACTATTATTAGGATATGGAGCTATAAGCATAAGAGAAACAAAAATGAGGGTTCTTCTCAGACTTGAAAAGGCAAACAAAACAATCCATATGTCAGCAAATTTCAACAACCAATGAAACCCAGAGAAGCTCTAGGAGATGAAAACACTTCCAAACTTGCAGCAACTAGTAACTTTGTGGCAAAAAGAATGTCAGCTTGATTTGGTGGATGTAGGAATTCTCTAATCTCTGCCTCTGAGGATGTATTAATTACTCTGCAGTCTCTTTTGTTGTAGCCATTTTTCCAAAAGCCTAAGGACTGAGATATCACTTCAGTTCATATCAAACTCCCTTCTATGTAACAGCATGAATCCAGCCAAAACACATATTCATCCCCATGTCTTTTCACAAACCTACAAGCAAACTTGCACCCATTTGAACCAGAAACTCATCATAATCCGCAAATGACAATTTGTCACATCTTCAAACTCCAATGACAATAAAAGTCATGAGTTAAACTTAAAAGTCTTCTAATCATTGTCATCCACTTCTAGTTTGGTTTCTAACTGCATTTGTTTTCGATAAAATCTTACACCACATCAATTGCTATTAGCCACCTTCTTAGGCCTGCTATAGTATTTCATTAGAAACAATAAATTTAATGAGATCATTAGAAAAGTATCTTAGCCGTCCATGAAGCTATATCACTCTTGATATGTTTAATAGACCCCTGATGCATACTAAAGTAGATTCCTTTCCTTCATAAGACCACATCTACTCATCAAACCTCTTAAAAGATAACTCGATCAAAAGAGGGAATAAGTTCTTAATTTTTTTACACTTCGTTTGCCGCCAAATGCTTTTCTTTGCATCTCCTTCAAGTAATGCAAAGTGGCAGAAAATCAAGACTCCACACCCTATTTGTTTATTTTTGAGGCCGCTTCCTACAACACCGATCAATAGCCTCCAAGAAACAACCAACCACAAAATTGTTGACTAAGGAGGCTATTAGAGTCTTTGACATCAGACTGATAACCAACACAAAGAAAGAGAACCCAATCCAAAGCTCCCAACTTCTTGTTGGACAAAAGTATCACTAATAGAGAGCAATTATACCAATAAGAATGATGACTATGGAACTAACAAACACGTTTGAAACTCCTGATATTTTAATCTAACCCAGGTCCAGTAAACTAATCGTTTATCTAATAAGTAACTCTAGAGTCTAACTTAATCATCCACCAAACAAATAGATATTTTGTATGATGCGTAATACACAGCCAGTAAGGAAATTTCAACCCCGCAACACTCCCTCATAGGGTGGAAGAAGACCCCACTCAAACAGCTAATGTTTCCAAATAATATATTACAAGCAAATTATCTGAACATTCAATTGCAGAGTCCTAATGGTTGCAATGTATGTAGAGCATCAAGTTAATCAGATATTACAAACATCCAATCTATAAACTCACATTGCTTTGTTTTATTATTAAATAAAATTTCATGAAAGAGCCTGTTGTTGATAAAGTAGTGCTTCTAGTGTGGTTTTAATATTCATAGTTGTCATCTTGGTCTTCATTTTGACCAGTCATTGGGCTGGATGACTTGTCTACCTTTGGTTTTTTTTTTTTTTTTTCTGTAACCTTCTTCACTTTATTAATAAAATTATTGTTTCTATTAGAAAGAAAAAAAAAAGATGAAGTAGTTCTTAATCTCAGATTGATTTTATTTTTGGCATGCATGATCACCAGGGGATGGTCCTTTACTTTAGCCATGAACTAGTAAACTTTTAATTTGGCCAACCTAACAAAGATAATTCTACATTCACCTACTAATTTCATCACTGTGATGTGGAAAAGGACAATACACAAATAAAAAAAACAGAGAATAGATTTCACTTAGTTTCCCATCAAATGATCCATAAGTTTGCCATCCATAAAATGTCTTATTTGTGCACTTTGCTTTCTTAAAGCAACAATTCTCAAGAGGACTTGTACCCTTTTGAAAGATATTCTACTTAATGGAAAAATGTGACTTTAGACAAAGGGCTTAGAAAACAATAAAAATAAACCAAAGACATAAATATTGGAAAACACAAAGGGTTTGTTTGGATGAATTTTGGAGAGAGGTTTGGATTAGTTTCTCCAAAACCTTCCAAACCCAAACCTCTCTTTGCAAAGATAGAATTCAACATTCAATCCGGTTTATACCTATGTTTGGTATACAATACATACACATGTAGGACCCACGGATATATCATAATTATTAATAATTATTTATCCTATAAATAACTATTTTATCCTTGATCAATTCAATTCATAATCATGTTAAAGGGTACAATTGTCTTTTGGATTCTTAACCCCTTACCCATCTTCCCAAACCCACCTCTCCCCTACGTTTGACGAAACCCATAATCATGAGTTTAATCTTCGGGGCAGCTACGGGCCGAGTTTGGAAACCCGAGACTGAATTTTCCATACCAACATGGGATTTGGGGGTCCTTTGGATTATTTTCCCCAAACTCATCCAGCGATGTCCCTCCATACCCTTTGGCCAAATAGCCCCAAAAGATATTGGCTCAAGCGTTGGAATAACTTGATACAAATTTCGTACAAGGTGCCACAAATCCAAGTGCAACATGCGAATTTGGTAATTCAGTTGGCAATAAGCGAGAATTGTGAGTTTGGCTTTGCTTACAAAAAAGTCTAGTTTGGTATTAGTCAGAGTTGAACCCACTACAAAGGATGTGGAAAGAGTATACAGCCACTAAGCTACATAAGTTCTTGTTTCCAAAAAAGGTTTTATGTGAAACCTGAGCATGCATAATATTTTATTTTATAAATAGTGTGGGTTAAAGTGCGATTTATGAATATTTACATGGAGTTTTATGACAATTAAACTCTGGGAAGTTGAGCATGTGTAAATTAAGGAATGTAATTGTAGAATTATGAGGTAATGGAGAGTGAAGTGTAATTTCAAAAGTGTCGCGATTATTAATTTGATTAAATAAAGAGATAAGCAAAACATAAGGGCGCTTTAGTGTGATTAAGATAATATTTGCATGTAGAAAACACCCCGCATGTGTGTTGCTTCTCCAGCCATGAGTCTTGGGAAAAATATAAAAGGAGAAAAATTGTTACAGGCAGTGGAAGAGAAGAAGAAAATCAAAGCAAGGAAAAAGAAAAAGGAAGAAAAGTTAAAGGTTTTGGAGAGAGAGTTCACTCGAAAATTTGCATGTGTTCTTGAGTGAGAGAAACCTTCTTGTTTGAGAGTTGTGTGATCTTTGTTTGTGCAAAGGAGTGGTGTGGTGATGTTGTTGAAGAATTGAAGAGTTCTCCAACCTTTTGGATGGAATTCAGAAGAAAATCGAAGGAAACGGGTTCCAACGGTGTTAAAAGATACTCATAAATTTCTATATTTTTCTACTTCTAAAATATATTTTTGAGGCTTGGGCAAATGTTGTATGGTGTTAGACTTGGAGTTGAGATGAAGAGGATAAGTTTGGACTGAGTTTTGAAATTTTGGTACTATTCAACCGGTTAAAGCATGTGGTTGAACCGGATGAACATTTGGCGATGAACCCAATACTTTGGCGTTGAGTCTAATGAACCAGTTAAACCGGTTAGACTTCAACCGATTGATCATAGCCAATTTGACAAGTTTGTTGTGGTATTGTAGGCTTCTCTATAACTTATCTAAGATCTTGCTAAGGTATTCTATGGCCCGTAAATGGGTTTTTTATGAGTTTTATGGGTTGCATATATACCGTTGGGAAAGTTGAGGAAAAGTGTTAACATGTGCATGGGTAAACATGCATGACGGAATTAAATGAAAATGTTTGATACTTATATGTGAATACTATGGTAGGCATCAACCTCTACATCGAAGGCACCGACTGAAAAATAAACTGTTGTGTTTCGGGACTTGAGATGAGTGGGCTTTTTCCTTGTATTTGATAATGACCAATGTATACTTATGTGATGTCATTGAATGTATATGATGATATGGACTTGAAAGCAAATGTAAATAGCCAATCGTGGCAAAAATATGCCTTAGTGGCGGGAATATGGCCATAAAAGGCAGAGAAATAGCCGACAGTGGCATGAATCGCCTTACTTGCGGAAATATAGCCTAAATAGCGAATAAGTAGCCGATAGCGGCATGATTACGCCTTTACGGCAGAATGTAGCCATGATGGCAGTTATGTAGTTTTAGTGGCAAACATGTATAAATGTGTAAAGTGATTTTGGTTATAATTGTTGCAAATGCTTAATTGATGATACATGATGTATGCTGATGAGTGGTAGGGTTCTGTGTTAGTTCCTTGTTAATTGAGCATGTATTATATGATGATGTGTGAGGTATGCTTTTGTTGTTATCAATATATTAAAATTGTTCATTCACTGAGCGTGTGGTTGCTCACAATTCCCACAATTTGTGACTTTTCTGAGAATTAAGGGGAGTTTGAAGTCCACTGCTAAGTCATAGAGGATCGAGGAGTTTAATGGAGTCTTGATGTTAAATTTTGTAATGTTTTGACCGTGTAAATCTATACAACTGGTAAATGTCAAGCTTTTAACGTTTGATAGGGATTAAGTGGGGAAATATGAAGACGTTGTATAAATGGATTATGTATGTATGAAAGAATGTTTCGCTGTTAATTAAGTTATGGAAAGTTTATACCATATGTTGGTTAATTGGGTACATGATGATGAGTGGGGTCCACCCTCCAGATATTGACAATATGTACTATTCTCTGGGGCGGGGTGCAACACTTTATATATTGTTTAATTGTATCATAGGTGACCGAACATATAATTACATTAATGCACCCCTATACCTAGGCATTCTAGACTAGAGACATTTTGGACTATTGGACATTTTGATAATTACTGCTCTCACACTCCCCACTCTTACATCGCTGTGCGTCTACACTTTTGTATCCCATGGAGTAACATCAAAACTTACAAGTAGTTAAGTCAGAACTTCAAATGTCATCCATAGAAATTTTAAGCTATGCGGCTATGCCCGTCTTTTTTTCCTTCTTTTGGACTAGAGAGCATACAAAGCTTAAACACTGCCGATAAACATGACCAATCTGCATGACCAAGAAAGGCTGGAGAGATGCGGTGAGCCACAGCACTCTCACATAATCTAGGAACGAAAACGATGTTTCCTAAGAATAAATCTCAAGAAAATACAGCTTGTAAGAATCACCCCAAATGAGCACAGGTGCCTTTTATGGATATTCCATATCATTAGTAACACCAAATGCGTAGGTACTACATAAATCTGAAATTCTTCAACTTCAAAACTATAATAACCAAGGCCCAAATAATGGGACTCCATTTTGGATAGACAAATTAGGCATCTTCTTGCAAAGCTGCAAAAACTCAATAGTTATTGAACAATATGCATCACTGTCATTTGATACCCAAAACCATGATGAGACCGCCTAGTTACCTAATAGAAGAGACCGAGTGCATGAGATGTTGGACAGCTTTTATGGAAATACACAATTCCATAGGTTGTCCATCGATTCCATTCACAGTGCTCATCGACTTGGGTAAACAATAATGATTCAAATAGGTGCTTGCTGAATGTATTTGCTAACTTCTATTCAGTTTTGATGAGTATGCATTCACCAATTTAAGAAAACCAAAAGATCGAAATGTCAAAGTTGCCTCACAAAAATGCCCATAAAGCACACCTTGTAAAAGTAGAGTTGAAAAAGTCCAATGCCTCTTTTGGAAAAACAATTTCAAATAGGTTCTTCCTCTAAAAGTGGTTTTAAACTAAATTACCATTAAGACAGAAATTACTACGAATGGATATAATATAGCTTACTTTTGAAGTCTCTTCCGAAGCATATAACGCAAGTACGCATCTGTACCATATGGGCCGATACCCATGTATTTGCACATGTTTACCAATCGAGGCCTGCATTCAACAAGGTGCTTGCATTAACGAGATGTAAGTACGACCAAATAAGCCAAGCAATAATCGTTAAATGCAAGAAAATGACCTAATTATACAGGTGTAGAAATAACACCAACCTGCTGATGTTATCCAGAGTGAGCTCATCATTGAACAACTTGGCAAAGCCTAAAATTTCATCATTTGAAACACGAGCACCCCTTCTTACCTGTTATCATGTTAGGATAATTACAAAAAAGAAAATATTTTCCCAATTTTCTAAGGTTTTAAGGGCAGAGAAAAGGAAGATAATTGAAATGTTCACGAGTCTACTTTGCTTGTTTCAAGGGAAGAGACCAGTAAAGAGAAAAAATTATGGATTACATTAAACAAAGCAAAAAGAAAATTCTTACCTTGGTCATAAATTCATCAAGATCCCCAGCTGTTTGCTTTATTTCGCCACTCCGTGAGTCTTGGACCTCCTTTGCCATCTCCTTTACTGTGTCTTGCAGAAACCTAGCATATTCTATCCTCGCATTTAGCCTCTTTTTCAGGGCCTCCTACAAAGTTGAGATATTTGAATTGAAATTGAAAAAATGTTAAACATGGGAAATTATGGAACATAAAAGGCTTACATGTCCTAATAAGCTTTTTTCATGTCCTTTTTTTTCGGGACAGCATATAAAGCAATGATGGGCCAGAATCTACTGGTACTCAGTTGATTGAGCTTTTAGTAATAGTGCATCTGTTTTACCCTTGCAGACTACATATCAAGCTAATGAAGTACCAAATTGGGGTTTTGGCTCATTGCATCTAGGTCCTTGGAAAAATTATGGCAAAAACTCCAGATATCTTTTCAAGATTATTTTAATTGTGATCAAATTCTTTGCCTGGGAAGCCCAAGATACCAAAATTTTAGATGCTGCATTTTCTGCTTAACTAATATAGGATTCAATCGTAAAAAATCTGTAGAAATTCACAATCTGTAACATATTTACGAAGAAAATAAAACTGAAATTCATTATTGTAAATCCTCCCAACCTTTATTCTGGACCAAAGCTTACAAAGTATGGCTTCCATAATTACCAACTTTAGAGAAGATGTTCACATGAGACGAAATAAAACATAGATAATCTTCTTGCATTATCTCTTTCGAGTCTTTCCAATCTGTACACTAGATCAAAGCTTCCAGATTAATGGCTTCCACTATTACCAGTCTTATAAGACAATGGGCTAAGAATGAACCAAGCTTTTCATTGGACTTTTACATTACCCAATATGTTAAAACTTGAAGGATTGTTATCACAATATAGATTCAAGATGAAATCACATGGACTTTTTATGCATCAAGGTGATCAGTTGATGGGTAGACATCTCTTAATCATGCCATTCGTGGATTCAAATATGAAATTGTGGAAACTATCAAAAACACTTTATCCATAGTTATAAGTATCGTACGATACGTCACGATACACCACAAAAACGGTACGTATCGTGTCTCTGTATCATTTTGCACCGTATCGTACGATACACGATACGATACATGACGATTCTGTTTTTTTATTTTTATTTTTTTTATTTTTTGGGGCTGAAATGGCATCGTTTTATCCTAACACTTATTTTTAAATCACAAGTCAGTGAAACAACGTCGTTTCAGTGGTATAGTTTTAAAACAAAAAATAAAGTCTGTTGTTAATGTTGTTCAATTGAATTCAAAATTTCTGATCAATATTAAGGTTATTCAAGCAGTTGATGTTAGAAGTTTGAATCAGAGATCTTTGCATTGAAAACTTGAATAGTTGGTAGAATATTAATAAAATGCTATATTGTTATGAGTCTATGACTTTTTTACAAAGGTATATACATATTTTTTATTAATAATTATTTAAAAATTAAAATTGCGTGTATTTTACGATACATGATACAATACGATACACTATTTTTGAAAAATGATACGCCTTCCGATACGCGATTTGACAACTATCAAAAATAAGATACAATTAGTTGCACCAGCATTTTATATATATATAAAACAGCAAATATAATCCTGCAAAACAATCAAAAAGAAAAATTGGAAGAAAAAAAAAGGGCAACCACCATATTCCAATATTAAATTTTGAGCATGACAAATTAATTTTGATTTTAACTACTGTGCATATCCAATAAAAAAGTGTGTTATACATCCCATGGTATCAACATCTAAATAGTGAAGATGCAAACCACCCTGATAATGAGCAATCTATAGTGCACATGGAAAAATTCATGGGAACCATGCTTGCCTGGTTACTTGCCTGATGTTGGTCTCATATATTAATATCGTTATCATACAGCTAAATGGGTTTATCAGAACAATTCGGTACCATCTACCAAGTTCTTCACTATTATTCCTTTTTGTACTAGGTAACACACGAAGATAAAATCTAAGGCTTAACCTTACAATAACCAAGTTATAGGGACAATCATAAGGGTGCAACTTGGTTTAGTTAACACACATAAATTCTACGGATTAACCATATTACAGTCAATTTATAGTGACGATCCTAATGGTGCAACTTGGTTTACCTTTGATTTTCTTGGCATCCACACAAGTGAAAGAGGAAAGAATCAACATCCCAAGTACCAAATAAACCCCTCAGCAGAGAGGGAAGAAAGCAAATAAAAAATTTTAAAAGAAAAAAAGAAAAAGCATAGATCCCCACAAAAACAAAGAAAGAAAACATTGTGTGTGTGTGTGTGTGTGTGTGTGTGTGTGTGAGAGAGAGAGAGAGAGAGAGAGAGAATCACCAAAGGATATTTGACCGAACGTGAGATGAGGTTGACTAAGAGTGTTCCAGCTGTTGCTTAGCATGTAGTTTTATGCCATAATCCAACCATCATTACACCATCCTTTTCTCACCAAAACCCAAGCAAATGCCAATAGATAACTACCCAAAATATTCCACACTTATACTGATTAGGTGGCACAACAGCTTTCACTTACATTCTAAACTTTACTAAAGTACACCAAAAAGTAATAGATGAACACATTAAAGAAGAAGGAACATGAACATGAACATGATGAAATAAACACCTCCTAGCTAATTCATTATTGAGCATAAGATTATAACAGGATAATATCTAAGCCGTAGCCTCAAACATTAGAATACTTCAATGGCAGTCCAATGCATAAAACTCCTGCTACTACAAGGTCTAGCGAGGGTCAAATGTACACAGCCTTACCCATGCACGCAAACAGTATTTTCAACCCTCTAACCTGTACACTTTGTTTTATAATGGAGCAACTTTACCACTACACCAGGCCCACACACCAACATTGATGTACTTATGACCTTCTTTGTAAGAAGGTATCTAGGAGCAACGCAGATTATTTAAGCCAAATCTCAAATATATCAATTTTCAGGTTGTTTAACCACGTATAACATGGTTTATTGGTCAATATAAAGCCAGGAGGTCTTATTAAAGGACTGAGAAATTATCGAACGGATAAATTAGCAATTGTTGTTATGCCCTCACAATCACATGCTATGCTTACTTTCTTTTTTTACATTTTTGGCCTAGACAATGCTAAGTTACTTGCTTTTTAATTCTTTTGCAAAAAATGTTTGAGTTTGAATGGCAGTTTGGATAGTATGATAAGTGATACAGAGCATAGGAGAAGTTTTTTACGAGCCTTTGAACATCCAAAGAAGAAAAAGCCTAGACACGTTAATGGTGGCAGCCTGCTATGATCATTCCACAAGCTATTTATGCTTTTTTGAGTCGTTTATTTTAGTCTAAATTCTATTTTCAATATGTTTTCATGTTCTACATAGTGTTTCTTTTGATTATCAATCATATTTAGGGGTAGTTTGGTCGTTAGGGTTTTATTTTGAAAGTCATGTGAGTTTTATGACCGACTGTTTTGGGCTATTTGGTCATTTTAGTGCCTTTTTTCTGCTGGACAGAATTGAAACCCTTAGATTAGAATTAAAGGGCTGAGATTGATACTTTTATTAGGGCAACCCTAGGGACATATAAAAGGGTTGTTCCACATTGTATTCAGCAGCTTTTGGAATAATATTAACGTATTTTCTTCTTTCTACAGCAGCCATCCTTCTCTCCCACTCTTTGGGATTGAGTGTGGGTATTTAAGCTAGTCTTTTAGCTTGATCTAGTTCTATGACTTTCCTTCTTATTAGATTTTTCTGTTCTTCATAAGGTGATTGCATTAGTTGGTATCAGAGCACGTTCTGATCCTCTTGGGTTTCTTGGTGATTTGATAGATTTCGTCTTTGGGTTTGCAAGATGCCACCAAAGAGAAGCAATCCACCTTGGAGGCCAGCTGTTCAGCCAGATCAGAATGTATCAGTTGATCAATAGCAAATGTTCACTATGGTAGAAGATTTAAGAAGGCAGATTGAAACTTTAGCCCAATGCGTTGCGCAAAATCAAGCCCCTTTTCAAGATGGCGTCAAATCTGAGGAGGAGGCTTACCCTGAAGAGGATTTCGTAAATTCTTTTCATGCAAATGCACCACACCAACCAGCTGCTAATCAGTTTTATGATAAACATTGGGATGGTGGGTTTAAGGTAGAGATTCCAGAATTTGCTGGAGATTTGAAAGGTGAAGGTTTTATTGATTGGTTATCAACTGTAGAGAGAGTTTTCGATTTAAAGGATGTGCCAAAAAACAAGGTGAAATGGATTGCAGTGAAGTTAAAGGTAAAAGCATCTGCTTGGTGGGATCAACTGCTCATAACACGTCACAGACGGAAAGCCTAATATTGTTAATTGGGAAAAGATGCGTAAGAAGCTAAGGGAGACTTTTCTTCCTTACAACTACACCCAACTAATATATCAAAGGTTGCAAAATTGTCGATAAGGAAAAAAGAATGTTGATGATTACATAGAAGAATTCTTTGAACTTGTTCTTAGGAATGAGTTAAACGAGCGTGAAGAACAAAAGGTGGCAAGGTATATTGGAGGGTTACATGTGAATCTGCAAGATATACTAAATCAGCAAGATATTTGGAATGTTTCACTTGCATATCAGCGTGCTAAAGCTGCAGAAATTCAGCAAACAAGAGGATCTAGTAAAGTTGTGAACAACCAATATTCTTCCAGTCGTATAGTTGCTTTGAAGCAACAACCTAAGGAGACTATTGGAACAATCGGGTAACAAGTGGCACCTCAAAGGGGCAGTACTACTACAGCTCCTCAGTGGTGACCAAATGCTGGAACAACTAATGCTAACTAACAATCTAGTTGGGCAATTGACAAATGCTTCAAGTGTTGAGCACCAGGACACAAATCAGTCAGGTGCCAAAAGGTAAATAGTCATGAGGGGAAGCAACTTCTTGTGGAAGACTATGGATGCTTCTCAGATCGCTAATTTGTACTTCAAGGAGATTGTTCGTTTGCATGGTGTGCCGAAGTCTATTCCTTCTGATCGAGATAGGAAGTTTATTAACCACTTTTAGAGAACTTTATGGATGGGATCTGAATTAAACTTCAGTACGGCATATCATCCTCAAACAAATGGGCAAACCGAGATTGTCAACCGGAGCATAGGAAATCTGATTCGCAGCCATGTTGGATATAATCTTAAGCAATGGAATTAGATTCTCTCTCATGCAGAATTTGCTTTTAACAGGTCCAAGAATCGCACTACAAAGATGAGTCCATTTGAAATTGTGTATCGACGCAATCCAAACTGGGTCTTGGATTTGATTCCTCTTCCTTTAACAAGTTGGGTGAGTTCTAAAATTGAAGATTTGGTAGAAAATATTAAGCAAATTCACGAAAAGGTGCAGCGGCAGATTCTAGAGAGCAATCAAAAGTACAAGGAACATATTGATAAGGGTAGGAGACAAGTGATCTTTGATGTTGGAGATTATGTATGGATAGTATTGACCAAAGATCGGTATCCAGTTGGTGAATATAACAAGTTGAGTGCAAGGAAGATTGGACCATGTGAAATCCTTGAAAAGATCAATGATAATGCTTACAACAATGTTGTGAAAAGCTCGCCTAGGCGAGAAACGAAGCGAGCCGAGCCGAGCCTTGAACAACCCAGGCGAAGCGAAATTGACTAAAATAATGGAAAAGCAAGAAAAATGAGTGACTCTCGATTAAGTGAAAGGCAAGAAAAGTGACCACTTAGTTAAATTTTTTAAGTTGTTTTATTTTTTTATTATGGACCGTTGGATTGTTTAATTTTTATTATAGACAGTTAGATTTAGGCAATTAGAATAAAATTGTGAGATACTCATACACCCAATTACCCCCTTATCCTAATATATTCAACGTCTAAACCCTAATTTTGCCTAAAGGTTAGAGGATTGCTGCTACTGCTCCCACAAGTTGCCCCTCTTTTCTTCTTCTCTCTTCTGTTTCTCTTCTTCTTCTCTATTTATCTTCTTCTTTTAATTCTTTTTTTTCTTCTTCGATAGAAAGTTTTGCATCTGCTACTTCTGTCTTCTTCTTCGACAAAACACCACGCACTAATATCTACTTTTTCTCTATTTCTCTCCTATTCTTCTTTATTTTTTTAATTTTTCTTTTTCAATTTCTTCAACAAAAAATATAGGTACCTTGCTGTTTCTCCTGCTTATACTGTTGTTTTTGTCTTCTTCTTCGACAACAAAGGTATGTTATCTTCTCTCCTCTCCTCTTCTCTTCTCTCCTCTCCTCTCCTCTCCTCTTCTTTTGCTTCTTCTCTTCTTTTGGTTCTGCTTCTTCTCTCTTTCTTCTCCTCTTTTGCTTCTACTTCTAGTTCTGCTTATTTGTTTCTGTTTGTGGTTCTGTGTCTCTAGTTTTGCTTCTCTCCTTCTCCTTTTTTGCTTCTGCTTTTGCTATTGGTTCTAGTTCTGGTTTTGGTTTTGATTCTACTTTTGCTTCTCCACTTCTGGTTCTACTTTTCTACTTCTGCTTTTGCTTCTCTAATGTTGATTTTGTTGATTCTGTTTTTTTCTGTAATGCTAATTCTATTTTTTTTTGCTTCTAATTTGATGCCGATTTTCTCTGCTGAATGCTGATTCTTTACGAGCCTTTGAACATCCAAAGAAGACCAAGCCTAGACACCTTAATGGTGACAGCCCGCTGTGATCATTCCATAAGTTGTTTATGTTTTTTTGAGTCGCTTATTTTAGTCTAAATTCTATTTCCAGTATGTTTTCATGTTCTACATAATGTTTCTTTTGATTATCAGTCATATTTAGGGGTAGTTTGGTCGTTAGGGTTTTATTTTAGAAGTAATGTGAGTTTTAAAAGTCAGTCATGTGACTGTTTTGGGCCGCTTGGTCATTTTAGTGTTTTTTTTTTCTGCTGGACAGAATTGGAACTCTTAGATTAGCTTTAATTAAAGGGCTGAGATTGATTATTTTATTAAGGCAACCCTAGGGACTTTATAAAAGGGTCGTTCCATATTGTATTCAGCAGCTTTTGGAATAATATTAACGTATTTTCTGCTTTCTACAGCAGCCAGCCTTCTCTCCCACTCTTTGGGATTGAGTGTGGGTGTTTAAGCTAATCTTTTAGCTTGATCTAGTTCTCTCTCTTTCTTATTGGATTTTTCTATTCTTCATAAGCTGATTACATTAATAAGGATGTTGGAGAGGTCATACGACTACAAGCATTAATTGATAATGCTTACAAGTTTCTAATGTCCTATGCAAGCCGGGGGCAGCCCAAGACTATTTTAGGCCTAAAGTAGCAACTAAAAGTGAGGCCTTTTATTTTTAATATTAATAATTTAAATATATTCTTTTTGTTTCTTTGAGATTAAAAGTACTATTAATTTATGTTTAGTAAGTTTTGCTATCATATCTTTTTACTAATCTCCTAATTTTCCTTGTGACAGTCGATCTTAGAGAATATTTGATCAATTTTAATTTTAAATAATTCTTTTTATTTTAAACAATCATAGTCTACTAACTTTAATTTTTTTAAGTTCGACAAAAAATAAAAAACTTTTTGGTATATTTTTCGTAATACAAATTAAAAACAATTCAACATGAGATTTTTAAGTTTTATATTTTAGACACATAGAAGAAAAAGAGAGAGAGAATGGTTAAAAATGAGCAGTGCATTTTGGTGCGTTATGGATTGGGTTTATGAGCCCAAACTACTCAAATTTATGTTTTGATTGGGTTTAAATTTCAGAATTTTTTTGGGGGCCTAAAATCTTATGGATCTAAAATTTTTTTATTTGGACTAACTATGCAGTTTAGAAATTTTGGGGCCTTCTTGGAACATGGGGCCTAAAACCCAAGCTTTGTTGGCCTTGTGGTTGGGCCGACCCTGATGCATGATGCAGGCCAAAATAAATTGGAAACATGGAAGTCAAGCTGATGTCAGCAATATAGCATACATACAATATGCTTTTAAATTTGCACTGGACGCTTTATTTTGAAAGGAATAAGAATTGGATTGTCCCTTAGTAAAATGCATGAACAGTCTTTTAAAGTGGTGTTGTTAAGTGCAAACATATTATAAATTTTTAGACACAGAGACCATTTATAAAAGGAGATTAGGGAATGAGTAGGAAAAGAAACTGATCAAGGACCTGTTGCCCACCCATGGTTCCGTTTGGTGGAAGATCTCAATGCATTCTAACTTTAAGGAACATTAATGGGAACACGGGAAGAGAATGAAATTCAGCTGATAATTTTGCAATATACTACAAGATTGAATCCAAAATCAGATTCAACTGTGTTGAAATCATGGATTTATCATGAAATATAACTTGTAAGCTATTCTGTGGTTTGAGATGAGGGAGTGGCCAACTGGTAAGGGGACTCATGCCGTTACGGGTTCCAACCTCATCCCTTCGCCTTCCCCAAGCCCTAAAAAAAGCTATAATGAGGTATTCTTTTGCTTCGACTTCAACTTTATCCTACTTACCGTGCTCAGATTGCTAGATCTAAAACTGGTTGGTGCTATGCCAAGTCCAAGAAAAGCGGATTCTCAGTTGACTGCATTTTTTTAGCACAGGATGCAATGTCATGCAGTCTAACCCTTATAATACTAGGTTGTTGTCACAAACCTGACAAGAAGTAGGCATCAAAGACACTAATGAACGATGCTTTATTTTCTCAAACAATTCCTTGCTTTGCTCACAACATGTCTAATTGAACAGAATACAGGCGAACTCAAAATGAAAAGGAAGCCCATACAAGGAAACCGACTGTAGACACTGGTTTCAGTGATATGTGCTAACATACTACAAAAGTTGGGCCTATAGCAGTTGTACGATATTTGGTAACAACCACAACATTGATTACCTGCTCTTTCATCTTGTCCTGGAAGGTTGATGGCAACATGTTGGGAAACAATTTCAGGAACACTGGTAGCAAGAACTCCATGAATGGAACAATAATAAAAACTGCAAAAGGAACTAGCCTGAAAATATCAGCCGTCGTCCGTGTGAGCTGTTGCCTCTCTCTCCTAGAAAGACTCTTCCCACTAGCAAGTTTTAACAGTAACCTTGAGCTTATCCTAACATCAACCCATAGTAATTTTGTCCCCAACCAGTAGTGTTGCAACATAGATTTAAATTCATCCTTCCCATGGCGAAACTTCTTCGCCCAGTCCTCCCTGGAGTAAGGAAGGGCAATGGTAAACAGATAATAATTCATACTCTTACCAAATTAGTTGAAGCATTAAAAAATTTACACAAAAAAGTCTTTAACCTGCTCATAGAAGCAACAGCTCTAAAAGCAGGACCAATTCCTAAAAGCATAGCCCATACTCTCTTCATTATAGGTTTAGCACCCTTTTGAGATTCTTGTAGCTGCTTAGCTTTTGCTCTAGCTTTAACTGTGCTCAAACCTTCAACTGCTTGGTCACATTCCTCTGGTGAAGCTTCTTTTTTCTGTTTGATAACTGGTTCTTCATTTCCATCCTTATGACTACGCAGTTCAGGTTGGCCAGCTGTGTTGGTGGAATAATAGTGTACATACGCTGATGCCCACCAATCTCCCAAAGGGGGAACATAACCTGTTCTTCCAATCCCACAACCCAAATTTGAAAACCTACAAAAACCATTACGCCACAGATATCCACTGGTTGAAACAGCCAACTTTTCCTCGTTGGTTAGAGAACATGAATCTCCTTCAGTTCTGCAATCTGTATTTGCTGATGGTAGAATTGCAGCCCGGCTGAAATGCCATGAATTAGGAATCGGAACTGATCCGTCATGCTCAAAGCTTGAAAAGACTTGAACCAAGTGTGTGGGATGCTTCAAGGAATTTAAGAGGTACTTCTTTCTTCGCAATATTGCTCTTGAAGCCATTATGAATTCAGGAAAAAGCTGCCAATATAGCCAGTCTGTAAAACACCATAACCACAATACATGGGAGGTTTTTAAGTTGTTGGAATACTGATGTATAGGTTAATCAATAGCTACCTTCTTTCATGTGAAGCAAAAAAACTTGCTTCAGTAATTATTCTGACAAAAATACCAACAATAAGTAACCTGTATTTCGATAATCACCATAAACATCACACAAAAAGAGGCTGCCCAATGTGCTGTCGGCATCCATTCCCTTCCCACCAATCCAGGAAAACCACAGATCCTCATACTAGTTTCTAATGCCTCCACAGTCCATTTCAAATGTCTTCGCAATCCACAGATAGACACAGACCACGATATATGGTTCTTATTTCTCTGGATTTTAACACATAAAGTTCCTGGATGCATGAATATTAACCAAAAATCCCAGCGGATACAGCCCCTAACAACAGATTCATAGTGAGAGACCGAAAACTCAAGTATGCACCCTTTTGGGGCATAAAAGAATTCTGTAGAACCATTCTCTCTTCTAGATTATAGATTTCTCACATTGTATATATTGTTTTGATTGTCAGTCATTTTACTTGCTAAGCAATTCGTGGAAGTGGAAGCAAAAAAAAATATAAATAAGGGTTCCCCTTCCATTGTTTAAGCATAATGTCTTGGTTTGAATAACATCAAATCCAACCCAAATAGGAGAAAATCCATAGTATATGCGTATAGGTATATTTCGACCCGTTCATAATTAAATTGATCAAAACTCGGAAACGATTAAGAAACATTGAAATTAGGTAACATATCAAACAAGCTAAAGAGCGTTTGTTAATGGGCGCATAAAACATCAGAGAATTTAAATAGAAAAAAAAAAAAAAACCTCTAGAGAAAGGCTGTGTGTGGAAGAAAGAGCTCAAACACTAACCTCAGATGACCGAGCGATCAATTAACCCATCAAACACGGTTACAGAAATTACGAAGTTGATTTGCAGTGAGGAAGGCAAGCAGAGGGAGGGAGGGAGGGAGGAAAGGAGTATATCCTTGATCCGCAAACGGGGAATATTTATATGAGGGGCGGTGATTTTACAGACCGTTGTCGCGTAGTGTGCTTTGGAAGCGAAACTGAATTTGACGTTTTCTTTTGTTTGTTGGGCTCTAATTTCCTAATCAAATCTTCATTATCTTTGAATGGAAAACCACAATAATCAAATCTTCATTATCTTTGAATGGAAAACTATAATGAGTAATGTTATATGAATTTAAAAAATAGATTTAAAAGTTAGATTCGATAATCTCAATTATTGAAGAGGTAGTAAGTCCCAATAAATGTTAGAACCCACAGTAAAATCAATGATTGAGATTATCAAGTCTACTTTTTAAATTCATGTATCATCGCTCTTTTATAATTAAATATTAAAACATAATTAAAGCATAGTCACATAATTCAATGACATAAATTTCCATGCAATTTACACCCAACATGTACGATTGAGTCAACATAAAAGCTCATAGTCCTAATTATTAGTTACTACAATGAGAAACACAATACTTAATGAGGTTTCTCATAATAATTAATAAGGTAATATAACAATTAGGATATAATCGGTGGGTAAAAGTTCAATTTATCCTTTTGGGGGTATATAAGTTCATTTTACCTCTTGAAATATACTATAGGGGTGTTTGGTAAGCGAGATAAAAGGAAATTACATAATGGGAGGTAGGGTAAAATTAACTAGGGCCCATTTATCCCATATTTGGATTGCAAAATTCCAAAAGGTTTAAATTGTTCGAACCGGCTCGAGCCCGAAGTGAATAGATTCAATAAATTTGTGTAATTTAAGTGAAAATAGAAACCAGTGTATTTTATTAATCTTTTTTGTCAATAACTACAAGTACGTATTTTTTAAGTCATTAAAAACATGTGTATGCAATATATAAGCGGGTGTTTGATTTAAGGGATAAAAGAGGATAAAGCAAGTTGAATTGGACAAAGAGAATTGAATGGCCCACAAAACCCAGCTTTGGATCTTCTTCTTTTTTTTTGAATGGGATAAACGTTAAACTCAAAAAATCGGGCCATATAAAATGAAGTCATTTATCCTGTCTGACCTGGTTCCATATCTTACCTGAACTTTGGGATAACTAAGCCCATAAATGGGATTGAACGTAGAATTACACAAAAGCCCTCTAACAGTAAAATTTCTAGTACCCCATTTACTCTCGACTTCACCCTTGTCCCCTCCTTCCTGCAAACAGTGTTATGTGGTCCCCCATTGCCAAAGGTATTCCACTACCTCTTTCTCACTCGTCGTCTCTCTCTCTTTTCTCATTCTCTCACTGTGTATGAAGATATATATACATATATTTGTAAGAATCAAAAAAAAAAGGGGGGGGTTTGTCTGTATTGTGAAGGTTCTTCTTTCATGAATGTGATTCATGCTCTCTCTATATATATACTTATGTACATATATGTGTATATAAATCAAAAAAATGAAAGTTTAATTTTATATGTGATAGTGTTGTGTTCTTCGATTTCTCACCCCCAGAGTCTACCTCTTTGTTCAGGAGGATGTAGGTTTTTTTTTTTGCTTCCCTCCTCCACTCCATGATTTGTTCATAGATTCTTGTATACCCAGAAAATGGCATTGTTCTCACCCTCTGTGTCTGTCTATCTCTCTATATAGATGTATATAAATCGAAAAACAAAAAAGTTTATATTTTTTATGTGATATTTTTGTATTCTTCGAATTCTCACCCCCAACAGTTTCCCTCTCTGTTCACGATGAAAATGTATGTAGTTTTTTTTTTTTTTGATTCTTTCCTCAACTCCATGAATTCTTCACACAATGATCCTAGTTATACTTAGATACTTACAATCGTGCTCGCCCTATCTGTCTCTCTTTATCTCTCTATCTCTCTCTCTCTCTTTTCGTTCTCTGTCATGGTGTATATGTACATATATCTATATATCGAAAAAAAATAAGTGGAAATTTTGTCTCTATTCTGGTTAGGGGTGTTAGCTCTCACCCATTGACACAAACCTAACATGAACGATTATAAAATTGACATGGTGACGCCCCTAAAATCGGGGGTCCTTTGTCAACCGTTGACCATCCGTTAACCCACGAAAATACTTGTAATTGTTGCCCAATCTGACATCACGTCAATAAAATTCCTTTAATCGGGATTGTTACCTACACGTGTAACTCGTGTGTATTTTACCATTTGACCAACCAAGGTCCAATAAACCACAATTTATCTTTATTTTATGCTCATTTGTATCCTTGGAACCAAAGAACCCAAAGTCCAAAAGCATGATAAAGCAGTCTTAAAAGTTTTAGATTTTGAAGAACCTACCAGTAAGATCTACCGGTAGGTTTTGCCTAATGTACAAAGTTCTGCTTATACAAGATCCTATCGGTAGGTTTTGCCCAGATTTGTCTGTTTCACATGTTTTTTTTTCAAAACCCACCCAAACTCATATAACATATATATGTATATCAAACCTAGTTAATACAAGTTCTATTACAATCATTTTCAAAATATTATAACTCCAAAACATAATTTTTTTCCAATGTTTTACAAATATGGGATAAAGGTCACAAGTCGACCTCTTTTCATCCACCAGCGTACCAGCGTATATCCCGTACCCAAAATATTTTTCTATATAGGGTGAGCCACGCTCAATAGAGTAACTCTTACAGAAGTTACTACCCAACCTAAGTGCATGTGAAATATGCATATGCAAAAATCAACAAGCATCATCCATTCCACTTAAGAATATACAATTCTATGTTGTAATTCTACTATGTCAATGAAATAAGATGAGATTCACTCATGCAATATACCCTGAGCCTTCATCAACTCCCTTTAAACCATGCAATGCTACATGTATAAAAACCTAAGGCACTCCAAGCCCCCTTCATTGATGTTTCACACCGAATGACTATTTTGTAAACAAATTCATGTGTCTTTATTTGGGTATTCGAATTCTTGAAGTCTCACCGCTGGTTCTGCACACCATTACACTTTTTCAAAATTTTACCTCAGGGAGTGTATGAACTAAGTGGTTGGGTCTTGCGCCCGAGGACTTATTTATCCCTTCTTGCTATACCCGACACAAGTTTTTCATGCAACATGCAACTCAGCTGGATCTTCGATCCAACCTTCCCGAGTCCACTTATCAAGCACCAAGAGTGGTGTTTGATTGAACCATGTACACACACTCACATTCATGCTTAACACCCATGAATGCGATGCCAACTTCATGTACAATATGCAATGTATGTCAAATGAGCAATTGAAACCGCATATCAACATATCTTATGGCAATGTATATCTTAAACATATAATTACCACAATTTATCAGTATGCTAATATATTAACAACATATATCAACTCATTCATACTCAACAACCATTCACAAGCATGTTACTACATAATCTATGTCAATAACGTTCTTTATTCACAAGGCACAATATTAACACATAGCATGCCATATAATGCCAAATTCTAAGAATTTTCACAAATGACATCCACATGTCAAGTTCAAGTTAGAAATTCGTTTAGACCATTTCTATACCCATTTCCTTATTTTCATAACAATAGGCAAGTGACATATATAGTTATACACCTACCCATTCCATATGGACATCTTAGGTTAGAATTTAAACCAAAGTAGGAGGGAACCTTACCTCTTGAAGCGTAAAATGAAGGGTAGAACCTTCAAGAACACCAATCACAACTCTAAACTCTTGATTTCCCAAAATATCTTATTTGGATCTTTAGTGAAATCCTTCATTCTTGGTAGGATTGCGTAGCCCTTGTCGAGGTAATCAACTTTAACTCTTGGTCCGAGTCAATTCAACTAACGGAGCTTCGTAGATCATAAGGAGAAGGTAGAACTTTTGATTTTTCTTTTCTCTCTTCTCTCTTCGCTCTTCCTCTTCTAACGTGAGCCAACAAATAGAATGGGGAGAAATTAGATATTTCTCCCCTTATTTATACCCTTTAATTGTGCGGTCCACGTCGCACCGCACGTTCCCTATTTCTGGTTCCTTTTTTATCCTGAAATGACTTAATTTCGTTCAGGTTTAAATTCAAATTATTTTTATATGAACTTAAATTAAATTATAAAAAAAAATTATAAATTTTATTTTTGGGGACGTTTTTGAGGTCACCCAACTCCCAACCGTCTCGTAAAATACAAAAAAATCGACTATTTCAGAATTTGATGAAAATTAATAGGGTAACTAGATTTTGTGAGACGTATCCAATGGTGAGGTTCGTTACGTCAGTCGAGCTCTAGAGAAATACTAATTTTCAACCCGCACTGTAGTGGCAAATTACTGTTTTGCCCTTATTCATAAAAAAGTTCAAATTTACTTGGATTTTACATACACGATTATTATATACGCATAATAAATAATTTAGACTAATGTTTAATACTCAGAACATAATAAATAAATTTTTTTTCGTGGGTTTTGACACGAACACGACATAAATAATAATGACACGACAAGAACAACACAACATGTGGATCACACACCCCTAATTTTGGTTGATGTACTTTCATGTTCTTTGTGCTCACCCTATCAGTCTCTCTCTCTATCTCTTTCTCTCTCTTTGTCCATATATATGTATATATATATCTATATAAATTACAAAATAAAAAAGTGTACCTTTGTATGATTTAGTTATGTGTTCATTGGTATCTCACCCCCACAATCATTCTCTTTGTTATGTGGGTATGAATGTGTGTCCATCTTTATCTGTACATTATATAGCCACACAGACACACATCTCCCCACCTTTGTGTGTAAACGATGGTTGTTTCATTTTTTTTATTTATATTTGTTTTTTCCCTGTGGTGTGGTATGTTTAGTTTTAGTAATACATTTGTAGCGTTCTTAACAGTGTCTCCAATCAATGATTTCACGATTTGTACTC